AAAGTACCTTTCAAACCACATTTCAATGTTGTTTCTTCTATTATATCCAATCCTCCTCGAGTGCTTGAAGAATATGTTAACATTTAATTTCCCTGGATTTGAACAACTTCCCAGACATTGCAAGAGGCCTGGTTTGGTCTTTTATTCTTCTAACAAAGCCAGTCTTCCATTTCTCCCAGATCATTATAATGAAGACCACCGCTCATATAGTTTTAGTTGTTTTTTTTATCCATTCTCTACGGAGCACAAGTGGCAATATGACTAGATCTTTTTCTTCTGTCAGTTGTCTACGTTTCCAAATAATGAAAATATTTTCCTGAGTAACTTAACAGTACAAATTTACAATATAAATAGGAATGCTAAAGAAGGGAGAAACAAAACTACTTTGTATGAAGACAAATCATTGGATATCTGGCTCAAATATTTACAAGTGTCCCATTTTATATATTGTAATGAGGTCCATCTGCACCACTCCCTCAGATTCCGTTATTCGTGGGTCACAGGTTGGGAATTATTGCTTTGGGTCTATTGGGCTATAACTTATATCAACTGTGTACAGCAGCAGTTCTGGTTGGAAATGATCAAACATCCCTACAAGACACCAACCTTTAGTGAGGTTGCGATGGTCCTTGCTTCAGTGAACTTTTACATTTCAGATGAGGGTTGAGGCCCAATGTCTTGGATTATACTGAATGAGCTTTGGGTGAAACAACTTTAGAAACAAAGATTTCTGACTAGGTCTAATATTTATCAGGAAAGTTTATGGGGCAAAGTGCAGAGTAAAGGCTATTGAGATTATTGGAGTGTAATCTTAGGTGTATGTGGGATTGCAGCTTAAACTATATCCTTTATCTATTTTCAGAATTTACATGACTGGCTATACTGATCCTAGGCAGCTCATAACAATGAATAAAAACAAGGATAAAAGCAAAAACACCCTTTCTGCAGGCACCAGACCAAACAACTTCACAGCTGAATCCCCCTCCTAGCCACCCAATGTCTGGGGGGAAAGCCAGGTGTTCATGTTCTTCCAAAAGACCAATAAAGTAGGGATCTTTCAGATTATAGGGACTGCAAGGTCATCCTTTTTAATAGATAGGACTTCATTGCTGTGGGCAAAGCCTTATGTACAGTATTAGCCCCATTCTAACATACCTCATTTTGGCCAACTAATAGGATGAAAACAGTAATTGTCTTAACACCTAGAATGTCACAGTTCAGTTTTCTTCAACCTGGTGCCTTCCAAATGGATAAGCATATAAACTTCAGAATTCCTAAGCCAGCCTGGTCATTTCCTGAGAGTTGGGAATTGTGGTATTCCCATTATCTTAAGGTGTGCCAGACTGGGGAAAAGCTGAATTATATACTATGCACCATTAGAAAAAATGTCTGCTATTTTTTTTTTTCTTAGCTGGAAAAGAAGATTAAGATTTTAGTCCCAAGAATATAGAGGGCACCACCTTGGAGGAGATTTCAAGTTCGCTGGCAGAATGTACACTTGCAAAGCTATATAGCAGTGATGGCGAACCTTTTAGAGACCGAGTGCCCAAACCGCAACCCAAAACCCACTTATTTATCGCAACGTGCCAGGGCCGCATCAGCATTGTAGTGCCCTCGGGGAGGGGCATGGCCCTCTGGGTGGGAGTGGCTGCAGTGGTGATGGTAGACTGAGTGGCCGGGGTGGGCGTGGCCACCTTGATGTTGCTCGTGGGGGGGACGCCTGTGGGGGCTGGGCAGGATTGGGGGAGATCCTGGTGGGTGGAGTGGTGGGAAGGAGGCTCATCCTGCGGGGTGAGGTGGGGTAGGGCAGGGGTGCCATTGCTGTGGGGCAAGGCGAGGCCAGTGAGCGCATGGGGGCCTGCTCTACCACCTCTACTCGAGCTTGCTAGCTAGTTGCTTCGCCTCCTTTGTGCTGGGTGGGGCTGCCACTCCGGGTGCCAGCGGTGGCCTAATGGATGTGCGTGAGCTGGCGGCGACGGTGGTGGCAGGTGTGCCCACAGAGAGGGCTCTGAGTGCCGCCTCTGGCACGTGTGCCATAGGTTCGCCATCACTGCTATATAGACGTGCTTTGTCAGAACTGCATAATTATTGTGGCTCGAGGGTCATGCCATACTTTGTATACTATAACAAGATCATACTCTAAAAATGGATAGCCTAGGGCCCTTAGGGGAAAATTTTGAGGAATTTAAACAATAAAATGAATGCCATAAACACTCAACTATTAAACCATTTAAACCAGGGGTAGTCAACCTTGGCTCTTTTATGACTCGTGGACTTCAACTCCCAGAATTCCTGAGCCAGCTTAGCTGGCTCAGGAATTCTGGGAGTTGAAGTCCACGAGTCATAAAAGAGCCAAGGTTGACTACCCCTGATTTAAACCCACTGAAAAAACACAAATCAGTTCCAGACTTCACTGGCTCCTAGTCTGGAGACCAGGAAAGGAATAAATGCAAACTATACATTTTACTATATACAATAAAAGTGCAAGAGTTTCAGCTTGTGATGCTAGAATATACATTTGTGGCCATTATTTAGTTCACTACTGTCTAAGGATGAGGAACAGGAAGAAGCTATATTTCCATCTGGAAGAGAACTATTTATTGGGTTAAATTCCCAGTCGCATTGACTGAAGTTTTTTCTCTATATGTCTCTGCTTGGTCATAGTTATATAGAAATGGAAAAAAATCCTTAAATAGTCCTGTCGTACTCCCGAGTTTCAAATTAAGAAGTCTTATTAAAATTAGGAGAAGACCATAGAAATAATAGGAGACAGCATACAAAGAAACTAGAGAAGGCCAACCTGTTTCCATCTCCCAACCTTTTTTTTAACTGAAAAAAAATTTCCCAAAATGGCAAACTAAAAGGAAGAGCAATTCTCAACCACTCCATTTTGGGATGTGTTTGTAGGTCTTCTTTTAAGTTTGTTCATCAAAAACACCAATCCCCCAAACTCTGCCCACTTACCATCACCATATCAATTCCCCATCCCCTGCAGGCTCCAATGTTGTTGTTTTTAAAGAAGTCTGTATGCCTACCCTTGGTCTAAATAATTTATACAATTTTGAATCTTAAAGGATCCTAGCTAGATGGCAGCACACAACCATCCTTGCTTGATCTTCAAAAACTGAATGGGGCAAGTCCTCTTCAGTACTTGGACCGGAGCCACCAAAAATACCAAGGCTATAGGCTAGATCGGTGATGGCGAACCTTTTAGAGACCGAGTGCCCAAACTGCAACCCAAAACCCACTTATGTATCGTCGGCT